TTCATTATTGAACGTGGGCTGTTAAATTTTCTAACTATGATTGTAGAACTATTTATTCTTCCCTTTAATTCTGTTCATTTTTGCTTCAAATATTTTGAGAGTCTATTACTAGTTATGTAAAAGTGAAAGTTGTTCAGTCCTGTCAGACTCTGTGACCCCATGGACTATCTAGTCCATGTAAGTCTCCAGGCCAGAATACTGGAGTGGGTAGCCTTTTCCTTCTCCAAGGGATCCTCCCAACCCAGATCAAACCCAGGTCTCCTGCATTGCGGGTGGACTCTTTACCTGCTGAGCCACAAGGGAAGCCCAAGTATACTGGAGTGGGTAGCCTTTTGCTTCTCCAGTGGGTCTTCCCGACCCAGGAATCGAACCAGGGTCTCCTTCATTGCAGGCTGATTCTTTACCAACTGAGCTATCAGGGAAGCCCAAGGTAAAAGTGAAAGTCGCTCAGGTGTCTGACTCTGCACCCTCATGGACTGTAGTCCATGGAATTCTCCAGGCTAGAATACTGGGATCAAACCCAGGTCTCCCACATTGCAGGAGGATTCTTCCCTGATAGCTCAGTTGCTAAAGAATCTGCTAGCAATGCAGGAGACCCTGGAGACTGTAGTCCATGGGATCGCAAAGAGTTGGACAGGACTGAACGACTTTCACTTTCACTAGTTATGTAAATGTTTATAAGTTTTTATAATCTTGCTCTATAGAACCTTTTTAAAATAATATATAATGACTTTCTTTGTCTCTTGTAACTTTTTAAAGTCTATTTTGTGTAATCTTAATATAACCACCCGAAGCTCCCTTTTGGTTAGTACTTGCATAAAAATGCATAGAATATCTTTTTTTTTAAAACCTATTAATGTCTTTGGATCCAAAGTGAATATTTTCTAGATTGCATATTGCTGGACCATGTTTTTATTTTATCCATTCTGCCCATCTCTATCTTTTGATTAGAGAGTTTATACCATTTACATTTAAAGACTGATAATGAGGAACTTATTTCTGCCATTTTGTTACTCGTTTTCTATAGGTTTATAGCTTCTGGGTCTTTCATTTCTTCCATTACAGCCTTCTTTTTTAACTTTTTGTAATGAAAACTTTTGACTTACCTCTTATTTCCTCCTGTGTATATTCTATAGACATTTCCTTTTTGGTTACCATGGGAATTACATTTAACAGTGCAAAATTGTAACAATTAAATTGATACCAATTTCAGTAACATACAAAAACTGTCCTGTACATCTCTATCTCCTCTTTCTGTTCTTGACTTTTACAGATTACATCTTTATACATTGTGTGTGCAGTAAATTAGACTAATATTTTTATGCATTTGCCATTAAAATCATAAATAAAATGGAGGTAAATGGAGGAAAATTAAAATGGAGGTAAATGATAATTACACTAATAACTCTGTAGTTGCCTGTATATTTTTCTTCACCAGAGATCTTTATTTCTTCATATGACTTTAATTATTGTTGAGCATCCTTTCATTTCAACCTGAAGGATCCTCTTTATCATTTCTGGAAAAGGTGGGTTTAGTGGTAATAGATTCCCTTAGCTTTTTTTTAATCAGAAAATGTCTTGATTTCTCCCTCATTTTTGAAGGAAAATTTTGCTAGATATAGAATTGTCCACCAAGAGTTTTTTTCATTCAGTACTTTTATCAACCCACTGCCTCTGGCCTCTAAGATTTAAGATGAGAAACTGTCTGATAATCTTACTGAAGATCCCTTGTATGTGATGAGTATTCTCTCTTGTTGCTTTCAAGATTCTCTTTCTTTGGCTTTCTACAGTTAGATGGTTATCTTTTCTTCCCTTTCTCTCTTCTCCTTTTGGGATACTTACAATGGTACATTGTTTCTCTTAATAGTGTCCTGTAGACCTCTTAGGCTCTCTTTAGTGTTCACATTTTTCTTTTATTTTTCTGTTCCTCAGATGGAGTAGGAAGAACATGGAATCCATCTCTACCTAGACAACAGTTTTACTGGCAGAAACGGTCTGAAGTAACTATTTCGGAACTCTGGAGTCTATTTGAATGCTTGCATGTCCCAGGGGAAATTTTGGTTGGTCAACTGAGGTTAATTTCAGTCAACATGAGCCTTTAGTGTGAATAGGTAGGAACCTGTTCATTCCTACCCCTCAGCCCTGTGCTAGGCAGTCATGTTTATATTGCAGGTATGGCTTGCTGGAGACAGAGTGGGAAGTAAGAACCTTGTTCTCCAAATACTAGAGTTCTACATTTTATTTTTATTGAAGTATAGTTGATTTACTATATTGTGTTAGTTTCGGGTCTACAGCAAAGTGATTCAGTTTTATATATATGTTTGTTTTTTTATTATGTTTTATTACAGGATATTGAACATAGTTCCCTACGCTATACAGCAGGACTTTGCTGTTTATATATTTTATATATAGTAATCTGTATCTGCTAATGCCCAATTCCTAATTTACCCCTCCCGGACCCCACTTCCCCTTTGATAAACATGTTTTCTATGTCTGTGAGTCTGCTTCTGTTTCATTGATAAGTTCATTTGTGTCATATTTGAGAATTCACATGTAAGTGATATCATATGGTATTTAGACAAAGACATTAAAACAACTGTCTTAAAGTTGCTCATTGAGCCAAAAGAAACATGGATGAAGTCTGGAAAATAATGTATAAAAAATGCAAATATCATTAAAGAAATAGAAATTATAAAAAGGAACTAAAATGAAATTCTGGAGTTGAAAAGTACAACAGAGATATGAAAAAAAAGTTCATTTAGAGGGGATCAAAATATACTTGGCCACCTGATGTGAAGAGCCAACTGATTGGAAAAGACTCTGATGCTGGGAAAGATTGAAGGCAAAAGGAGCAGAGGGCAGCAGAGGGTGAGATGGTTACATAGCATCATCAGCGCAATGGACATGAGTTTGCACAAACTGGGAGATAGTGAAGGACAGGGAAGCCTGCTGTGCTGAATAATAACAAAATCAGACTTGAGCAGGCAAAAGACAGTCAACAAACTTGAAGATATTTCCTTCAAACTCAGCTCCTTTTCCCCCCACTTTCTTTTGCCTTAGTTCAGGTGTTTCTGATCTGCCTAAGATCAGAAAGTGATATTCAAAGTGTTCTATTTACTCCCTGTTTTGCCTTTTCTACTCCTACCACAATGAACTTTTTTAAAACTCAAATCTGTTATTGGCACTATCCTTAGAAACCTCAACCTTATAGATTGAACTTCATTTTCCTTATTCCTGTTATTGGCACTATCCTTAGAAACCTCAACCTTATAGATTGAACTTCATTTTCCTTATTTTACCATTTAGGGACTTTTCCATTCTGGTTCCAGCTTACCACATCAACCTATTGAGCTTGAGATATAAATTCCATTTTCCAGGAAATATTAGGTCTAAGGAAACAAACTCAGTGACTTTCTGAGGAAACAACTGTTCAGATCCAGAAGATAGGAAATTTTGTACTTCATCTAGACTGATTTCTTCAATAAGCCAGTGTCTTTCAAAATTTTTTCTTAAGTACTATAAAAAATACTTAAGGGGCATCACAACCAGACATAGTGTGTGGGCTTGGACTGGATGCTGATTTGGGAAAATTAGCTGTAAATATATTTTGGTCAACAGAAAATTTGACTATAGTTAGGTATTAGATGAGAGGAAAATTTACTGAAATGATATTACTGATTTGGTAAAGCCAGCTGTAAAAATATTTTTAGGTTGTTAGAAAATTTGAATGAGATCTAGGAATTAGATGAGAGGAAAATTTAGTGAAATGCTAAGGTAGATACTGTTAGTTGAATACAGCAGACTGCTTAATTATGTGAGCTCATTTTGAAAAACAGTATATAGACACAAAGAAGACTGTTTTAAACTATTAATATTTGTAGTGAGAATCTGATATTTTTGTTTTATTTGAGGTTGTCTCTGTTCTGGATTTTTCTCCAGGACATACTCTAATGATTCTGTAATAAAATTTTATTTAAAAGATTATGTTAAGATTTATGTATATATTGGGGAAACACATATAAATCAAGAAATACATGAATGTATGGTCACCAAACTATTAAAAGTGGTTTTGTCAGAGTGTCAGGATTTCAGGAGATTTTGCTTTCTTCGTAATGTATTATCTGTTATTTAAATACTTTAAAATGGGTGTGTATTTGTTACATAACTGTGTAAGGAGAAGGAAGAAAGCTATTTTACTGTGGGAGTGCAGCCAAGTCTATTATAATAGACAAGTCACAAAGAGGACTGCAACAGAGCACAGCTTTTGTTTTTTTGCTGTGTCTGGTTGATTTAGATGCACTACCCACAGGAAAACTTTGCGAATGACTCATTTAGCAGGAAAAGAGTATACACGATTTGAATCAAGAAAATGAGGGAGAGGCTTTAGAATATTTCATAAACTGTCAAGACTTAATTAGCACTTTTAATAATCATTATTTTTGTTTACAACTACTGTGTAAATTCACTCAGAAGAGGGACTTTCAACTTCATTCTATTGCTGTTCTGTCACTTTTGTGTGGCTTTTAAATAAAATCCCAGCCCCATCTTTGAGTAGCATTCTGAAACAACCTAGTTCATTTTGTTCTGTTTTGTGTGTCTCAAATGTCTCAAGGTAGTTGTGTTGTAGCCAGTCGCCCTTGATTTCAAAGTTAGAAAGTTGACTTCTAGACGGAATCCTGTTCCTTAGGCTGGATTCCTTTACAAAATGAGAAAAATCATATTCTCAAGGTTTGTGGTAAAGCCAAGTGACATACCCGTAAAGGAACCTGCCTGTTGACCATCCCTGGCACTTTCTGCGCCCTCCATAAAGGTCAGGTGTGTTGGGTTAACATCATTAAGTGAGACTTTAGATAAACGTTAAAGGTGAGGAAGGAATCCCTTGCTCTAGCACCAGTGACTTTGAGGTTGTACCCACCTCAGGCGCAACAGGTACTACCCAGCCTGCTGCCCCCGCCAATCCTGCTCCCAGTCCCAGTCTCTGTTGGCCCTCGCGCGCACACTCAAGCCAGAGACAAGTCCCTCTCCCGGAGAGAAGACTCCGCGCAGGCGCAGAATACGGAGGCGGGCCCAAAGCCCAGGTGGGGTCCGCGGAAGGGAAGTACGCCCCCGCCGCCTGTCGTTGGGCCAATGGGGCGACTCGGCTTTGCCAAGGGCCTATGAGGCAGGACAGGAGGCGGGGCGGAGGGCGGAAGGAGCGCCCTCACGTGAGTAGGGGGCGGGGACGGCGGGGGCAGGGCGGCTAGGGAGGCCCAGGCGGCGGAGCCTCCGGGACGGCGAACGGCGGGCGGCGGAGGAGGAGACGGCGGGTCGGGTAGGGCCGCGTTTCCCCTCCTCCTCCTCCCACCCACCATGCCCGGGGGGGATCCTCGGACGGTCCCTGCGGCGAGCCAAGCCGTGTTCTTATACCGTAGGGCTGGGCCGGCGAGACTGCGTTCAGGTCCCTCGACGAGCCGGGTTCTGAGGGGAGCAGTGATTGGGGGGAGGGGGAGCAGGGGCCCTGGGGCGGGGGGAGGACGCATGCGCAAGCGGGAACGCTCGGACAGCCCCTGCCCAAACCGGTTCCCCCTGTCTGGGTGGGTGTATGCCTTCCCGGTGGTGCACTTGCGGCTGTCTCTCTCGCCCCTACTGCAAAGGCGGTTTGTCTCTTGACTTTTTATGTTTGGGGAGAGGTCCTGTTTGAGAATTTGGCTGCTCCCTCCGCCTCAGTTTCTCCCCGTTGCTCGCTGGGCCTGTACCTGTGACTTAGGCTGGCTTCGGCCTCAAGCAAGCTTCCTGGGCTGCGCCTGATTTGAAAGGCTTGCTTTATTCTAGTGTCGGTCTGCCATCTCCTGTTGGCCTTTCCGTCTCATTTTCCCACCTGCTATCTAAGTGTCCCCAGTAGCCCCGTCTTCCCAGATTCTTTTAAGTGTCTGCCCCCAGTACCTCGTTGCTGTATCGTGATTCCCAGCAGCCTAAAGGGCTTTGGGTGTTGAGCCCGAGGATCTCCCCAGGCTTCCAGGAGTTCGCTGTCCATTGCCTGGTGGTACTTTGGTGTCCCTTCTAACATTCGGATTGTTATCTGCAACTGCCTTTACAGTCATCTCCATACTTAACGGTTCCTTTATCTTGGAAGCAAAAGCCCTAGCAAACCATGCTGTTGGTACGCTATAAGTGCCCTATTAGTTTCAGTCGTCTTTCGACTTGAATTGGAGATCTTTTGAGGGTTTTTGTTTGTTTGTTGTCAGGGGCGGGGGTGGGGAACAGGGTTTCACAATTCACTTGATATTTTCATTCAAATAAACACCTGTATTCACATACGTGGGACTGGAGTAATAAGTCGCGAGTGTGTGTCTATCCCAGCTGCTGTGTTTAGGAGGGGGAAAAAACAGTGAATTCAGCTGAGTTTGTCACATTAAAACTGAGATTTAGAAAGTTGAAAAACTTAGGTGCCAAAGGAGTGCACGTTTTCGTTTTTAAACGAAGGACCTGTTGGCCTTAATTCTAGCGTGTATAAGGTGCTATTTTAATGTATATTTAAGGTTTTATTTGGGTTTACTTATTAAAAACTGAAAATGAGTAAGGAACAGAGTTCTTTAAAATCTTCCTTTGTAGACCTCAGTTTCTATTAATAAAATGAGTCCACGATTGAGTTGTATTTATTAGTAATGGGTTCAATACATATTATCAATTCAACTTTGTCATTAAAGTTGAACTACTGCTATGTTACGGTACACATTTCCTTTTCGTTTCAGTTTTATGACTTAGTTTACAGTTAACTAGCTCAGCTCCTCGGTATTAAGGTACACATTTGGGTACTTATTAACTGCATACAGTTTGGCATTTTTTTGCATAATGATTTTCTTGTTTTTACTTTTAAAAAATGTTAAGTATAGTTGATTTTGGCATAGTGCTTTATTAGCAATTTGCAGGTGCTTAACCTGGATAAAATTGTAGTTTAGTGGGACTGTAAAAGTGAAGACAGTTGTTTCCTATCTCTTGTACTGCATGTTGGAAGAAGTGTATTATGCACGTTATCTACATAAGGGAGCATGTCTCAACATGTCATAAACATGTCTCAACCATACAGTCTTGGTTCATTAAAGAAGTCGTTTTCTATTATTGAGTACGTTTCTAGCTAAACTTTACAACCCAAATTCTTTTATTTAGAGAAGTCATTATCTTTTATTGAGCACATTTTTAGTTGAAGTGTTTCCAGCTGACATGAAGCCTACTTTGAAGGTCTCACCATTTCACAGTGATTATTTTAACATGTGCCCTTTGAGTACCGGCTTCAGAAAATAATTGAAGTCAGTTCTACTGTGGTGTGTCTTTATAGTTGCTAATGTGCTGAAGTTCTGACATAGGCTGCAGAACTGTTATCTTTGCAGTTGTCAACATAACCAGATACTACACTTTTCAAGCATGTGAAATAAATGTATGTAAAACTTAATCTTTCTTAGAGCCAGAACTCAAACATTAAAGAAGTGTTAATTTAACCAGTGTTCATAAAGCAAAGTTCGGCATGCATTTGAGTGCTTTGTATGTAACTGCATTGTTTCATTGATTTACCATAGTTAGATTCTAAAGAAAGAAAATCTAAGACTAAGGACTTGGCTATCAGGTATACCTGATAAAACATATGAATTTAACAGCTGTTTCTTTTTGCATAAGATAGTTGCCTGGTCTCCCCTCCCAGTCTCTCCAGTTTTTTGTTGATCCTAAGGTCCCTATTCTTCAGAAAACTTGTAATCCAAAATGATACTGGATAGACATTTAAACTTACATTATAAGCACTCTTGTTGACCCCTAACTGCCCTGTTTCTCTTCATGTGTAAAGACTGACCAAATATGGTAGTTTGCAAGTCATGAACAGTTTAGTTTATAGAGTTTAGCTTGGAAGTTTCCTCTTGCCAGAGTCACTCTGAGGTAATCACCAGAACTTTTTGAAGGTTTTATTTTTCTATCAAGTGGAGTTCCATAAGGCCTAACTTTTCCCCCAAATCCCTTTTTCTGTAGATCATAAAATAGTATAAATAAAACCCTAAATTTATTTTTAAGTTCATGCTTCACATTAAATGGTATATATTACCTTGGCTCTAAAACATTTGAAGTATATTTTCTCATTTGTGTGGCCTGGTGCTGAATTTGGAGGTTTAGGCTTCTTTGGAGTTAATGCATGTTTGTTACCTATCTCCAGTTAGTTGCATCAGCTTTTATGTAATAAGTCCCAACTCCTTGGCATCTGTTAATCTTTGTGGCAATAATTTTTTCTGCATAGTAAAATATGACATCTCTTAAGGTACATTAGCAAATTACTTTCTGTGATAACTTTAATAAAATTTTATTAACCCTTAAAGCTTAACAATAATCTGACTTTTAAAAATTTCCTTTCCTCATTTTCCCTTGTTTATATACACTTTGGTAGTTATAATCAAGAATCTTTGATTATTATCTTATTTTCCAGCTTCTGAGGGTGGCCCTTGTGTCAGAAAAAGGAACTGATGTACAGAATATTTCTTTGGGAGTGTATTTTAAATGTTGTCATGGGTATTAAGAGATAGTATTTAAGGCTAAATTGGATTAAATTTTGGGTGTTTGTATAACACTATTGCTAAGAACTATGAATTAAACGTTTTAGTATTTTTACTATAGATTAATAAACTTTCTTTTGCCCTTGAAATATGCTGATGAAAGGATTCTGGCAAGGTGAGAATAGAGACATGTCATGTAAATCTCTTTTGCTGTGATACATGATTTTCTCTAGTATACCTGCAAAAGAGAAATGGTTACAGCTTTATCATAGTTACCTGTTGAATTCTCTGTAAATTGACGAAAAATCTGATTTGTAACCTCTAAAGCTAATTCTTAGATTAAGAAACTCTTCCCTAGCAGAAACATCTATTTGTTATTTTTATATTTTTGCTTTTTGGTTGTGAGAAAAGATCTTTTTAGACAGGTTTGAAAGCATCTGTGAGGAGGAGGAGAGAGGAAGGTTCAAGAGGGAGGGGACATATGTACTCTATGGCTGATTCATGTTGATGTTTGGTGGAAACCAACAAAATTCTGTAAAGCAATTATCCTTCAACTAAAAAATAAAGTTAAAAAAACAATTTGTAAACTATCCCCTAATAAAGAGATAATATATATTAAATTAAAACAGAAATCTCTGACACTAAATTGAGTATGTGTGAATTCTTTTATTTTCTTACATGGTGCCTATTCCAGTGCTGTGAGTGAAAGTGCTCAGTAAATGTTTTTTGGTTGTCCACCGCCCACCCCCCGCCCCCATTCAACACTCTTAACAGATGCCCCACCATCCTTGTATAAATATGGACCAGGGCACTTCTACATCAAAAGATTCAGAAAACTTCTGTGTCTTCTGTTAAACATTCATGGTTTGTCTACACACATTCCCCTGAAAATCAGAAGTCATGAAAAAGGGACACCATTTTACTGCATTAATCTCAGGCTTTGGTCATCTAGCAAATGATTTGTTTGCTTTGCATTAAGTTCACCTGGTTTAAACATTTCAGATCCAAATATAGACAGGTTGGTGTTCTAAATGGAATAGCTTAATCTTTTTCACTATGTGTGAGAAGGAACTAAAATATTGAGTAATTTCCTAGAAACAGGAAAAGTTTTTAGAAAATCCTGTATTGCTTAAAAATATTAGCTTTTATATTTACAGAACTGGTGTAAATTCTATTATGCTTGGGAAATCCATTCCAGAAAAAGTAAATACAGTTCAGTTGCTCAGTAAGGTCTGACTTTGAGACTCCATGAACTGCAGCATGCCAGGTTTCCCTGTCCATCACCAACTCCCAGAGCTTGCCCAAACTCATATCCCATTGAGTCGGTGATGCCGTCCAACCATCTCATCCTCTGTCATCATCATCTTCTCCTGCCTTCAATCTTTCCCAGCATCAGGGTCTTTTCCAATAAGTCAGTTCTTTGCATCAATTGGCCAGAATACTGGAGTTTCAGCTTTAGCATTGGTCCTTGCAATGAATGTTCAGGACTGATTTCCTTTAGGATTGACTAGTTTGATCGTCTTGCAGTCCAAGTGTCTCTCAAGAGTCTTCTCCAGCACCACAGTTCAAAAGCATCTATTCTTCGGCACTCAGCTTTCTTTTTTTTTTTTTCCCCAGCTTTCTTTATAGTCCAACTCTCACATCCTTGAATGACTACTGGAAAAATCATAGCTTTGACTAGATGGACTTCTATCAGCAATGTAATGTCTATGGTTGTTAATATGCTGTCTAGGTTGGTCATAGTTTTTTTTCCAGAATGCTTGTCTTAATTTCATGGCTGCAGTCACCATCTGCAGTGATTTTGGAACCCAAAAATATAAAGTCTGTCACTGTTTCCATTGTTTCAGCATCTATTTGCCATGAAGTGACGGGACTGGATGCCATGATCTTAAGTTTTTTGAATGTTGAGTTTTAAGCCAACTTTTTCACTCTCCTCTTTCATTTTCATCAAGAGTGTCTTCAGTTCCTCTTTGCTTTCTGCCGTAAGGGTTGTGTCACCTGCGTATCTGAGGTTATTGATATTTTTTCCTGCCATCTTGATTCCAGCTTGTGTTTCATCCAGCCGGGCATTTTGCATGATGTACTCTGCATATAAGTTAAATAACAGGGTGACAATATACAACCTTGATGTACTCCTTCCCCGATTTGGAACCAGTCTGTTGTTCCATGTTCAGTTCTAACTGTTGCTTCTTGACCTGCCTACAGATTTCTCAGGAAGCAGGCCAGATGGTCTGGTATTCCCGTCTCTCTAAGAATTTTCCACAGTTTGCTGTGATCCACACAATCAAAGGCTTTGGCGTAATCAATAAAGCAGAAGTAGATGTTTTTCTGAAATTCTCTTGCTTTTTCTATGATCTAACGGATGTTGGCAATTTGATCTCTGGTTCCAATGCCTTTTCTAAATCGAGCTTGAATATTGGGAAGTTCATGCTTCATGTACTGTTGAAGCCTGGCTTGTAGAATTTTAAGCGTTACTCTGCTAGCATGTGAGATGAGTGCAATTGTGGTAGTTTGAACATTCTTTGGCATTGCCTTTCTTTGGGATTGGAATGAAAACTGACGTTTTCCAGTCCTGTGGCCATTGCTGAGTTTTCCAGATTTGCTGGCATATTGAGTGCGGCACTCTCACAGCATCATCTTTTAGGATTTGAAATAGCTCAACTGGAATTCCATCACCTCCCCTAGCTTTGTTCGTAGTGATGCTTCCTAAGGCCCACTTGAGTTCGTGTTCCAGGGTGTCTGGCTCTAGGTGAGTGATCACACCATTGTGATTATCTGGGTCGCGAAGATCTTTTTTGTATAGTTCTTCTGTGTATTCTTGCCACCTCTTCTTAATATCTTTTGCTTGTTAGGTCCATACCATTTCTGTCCTTTATTCGGCCTATCTTTGCATGAAATGTTCCCTTGGTATCCCTAGTTTTCTTGAAGAGATTTCTAGTCTTTCCCATTCTATTGTTTTCCTCTACTTCTTTGCATTGATCACTAAGGAAGGCTTTCTTATCTCTCTTTGCTATTCTTTGGAACTGCATTCAAATGGGTATATCTTTCCTTTTCTCCTTTGCCTTTAGCTTCTCTTCTTTTCTTGGCTGTTTGTAAGGCCTCCTCAGACAACCATTTTGCCATTTTGTGTTTCTTTTTTTTTTGAGGATGGTCTTGATCACTGCCTCCTGAACAATGTCATGAACCTCCGTCTGTAGTTCTTCAGGCACTCTGTCTATCAGATCTAATCCCTTGAATCTATTTGTCACTTCACTGTATAATAATAAGGGATTTGATTTAGGTCACACCTGAATGGTGTAGTGGTTTTCCCTACTTTCTTCAATTTAAGTCTGAATTTGGCAATAAGGAGTTCATGATCTGTGCCACAGTCTGCGCCTGGTCTTGTTTTTGCTGACTGTATAGAGCTTCTCCATCTTTGGCTACAAAGAATATAATCAATATGCCTTTGGTATTGACTGTCTGGTGATGTCCATGTGTAGAGTCTTATCTTGTGTTGTTGGAAGAGGGTGTTTGCTATGACCAGTACATTACAAACCAGTTCATGTAATTTCATTACTTATATGGATTACTTTGAGTAGTCAGATTCATAGAGACAGAAAGTAGAATGTTGGTTGCCTGGGGGAATAGGAATTGGAATTTAATAGCTATAGAGTTTCAGTTGGGGAAGATGGAAAATTTCTAAAGATAGGTGGTGGTGACGGTTGCACTAAATGTAAAAGTCTTTAGAAAATCCTGTATTGCTTAAAAAAAATATTTGTTTTTATGTTTACAAAACTGGTGTAAATTATGTTATGCTTGAGAAATCCATTCCAGAAAAAGTAAATACAGGGATGCTTAAAAATGCATACTACTGATGTTAGAAATATAATCTGACCTTCTGAATGAGTAGTATGTTAACATTAACTAATTTTCCCTGTGTTCCCACAGTTGGGTTTCTTTTGTGGTCATGGCATCCAAGTAACTTAAATATTTAGTCACAGAGATATTGTGTTGAAGGGGCATAAAGCCAGCATTCCTAGAGTTCTGGAAAAAACTAGAGTTCTGGTTCCTGAAATAGCCGTAGGAACATGGAAAAACCACTTATATGGTTTATTTTTTCAGGTGTCAACAGTATTGCACTCGATAATCAACTCAGTTAAATGAATGTTTTATGTGCATTTCATCCCCACTTCTTTTTGTACCTTTCATTAAAATGTCAAAATATAGAGGGGAGAGTGTGAACTTTGGAATCAGAAAAATACAGATATCCCAAGAATCAAACTTACTTAATATATGACTCAAGGTAAGATACTTAATAATTCTGATTCTCAGTTACTTTGTAAAAATGACACTTATAATGCTTGCATCATGGATTAGGATTGGGAGGCACCTGATATTCCTAACCCCCCGTTTCCTTTCCTGGGTGTTCTCATTCACAAAAGAGTTAAAAGGCCTTGGTCCCCTCATTTTATGTGTGAAAAAAGTGGAGCTATCACATTGTCCAAGTCAAATCACAAAGGACTGAGTTCAAATCCCAGTTGGTTTTTCAGTAGAAGACCAGACTGTTAACTTTAAATAAAGTCTTTTTAAAGCTTGATTTGTCACTAAGAAAGTGAAAAGTATAGTAACTCTGAAAATATTAGCTGTGGTGTTTAGGCATTTTTCTGTATTGATTTTGTGAGTTTTATCCTAAAGATCCTATAAAGTTACATTTAGACTTTTAGAACATTTATTGACCAGTGAATGGATAAACAAAAGGTGGTGTATTCATATCATGGGATGCTATTTGACCGTAAAAAAGAAAGGAAATTCTGGCAAATGCTGCAACATAAATGAGCTTAGGAAACATTATGCTAAGTGAAATAAGTCAACCATAAAAGTACGAATTCCATATAATTTCACTACTTATATGGAGTACCTCATAGTCAGATTCTTAGAAACAGAAAGCAGAATGTTGGTTGTCTGGGGGAATAGGAATTGGAATTTAATAGGTGTAGAGTTTCAGTTGGGGAAGATGGAAAAGTTCTAGAGATAGGTTGTGATGATGGTTGCACTAAATGTAAATATACTGAAAGCCATGAAACTACTCTTAAAAATGGCTAAAATAATACTTATGTATAAAGATTGAATTTTTTAAATTAAGAAAGCTTTTGACTGAGTTATATTTCTTTAAGGTATCTTTTATGGTTCATCTGAAATCAAGCTGAGTCACTTCATTAAGAAGAAGTGAGAAGAAGTTAATTGTGACAGATGTTATGGGTTAAAATTTGCCTAACAGTGACTTTTTCATAAGCTGTCCTTTCTTGCCTATATGTGCTTTAGGCCCAGGATGATTAAGTTTCATTTTCTTTTTGGTTTTTAAAGCTAAGCTGAAATTACTTGGAGGGCTTAAAGTAATAGGTTCTCTAAGCTCACTAAAATGATTCCAAGAGTCAGTCACCAAATTCAAAAGTCAGACTTAAATAAAGACACCTCAATTGTTTAGCAATTAGTAGTGGTGAAAAGGAATTTATTTTTCTAAAGACGGGACAGTTTTCCATGGAGTTTTATTAGATTCATCCCACCCTTCCCAGGGATATGTTGTGAGAAGTTCGTATGAAAACCAGTGCAGGGAAACAAACCTCAAATCCAGGAAAAAAGCTAAGATTAATATCATGTGATTTTAAAATACTACTTCTTTGTAGCTGTTTAATTTTATTGAGCTACAAACCCACAGGAATTGGCCTGCTAAGCATCTTTGGGACTTGACTCTTTTGCTGCTTTCTGACTTGTCTTTTACTGAACAGAGAGTAATCTTACCAGATCTGTGTTTTAAGAGTACAGCTGGGAACAGCATAGAATATGGATTGGAATGGGTAGAGAATGGTAATAGACCACCAAGGAGGAGAGATGCTTTCCTGAAAAGGACAGGCACCTAGATCCCTGGGACTGGATCAAGTTCTACAATTGTCTCGGTGAACTTACGCATTATTGAGCCATTCTAAGCCTCAGATTGTCATATGAGGTTTATAGCTATCTGGCAAGGGTAGTATAAAGGTTAGTAACAATGCATGTAAAGCTTCTAAGTACTGTGTGGGGCATATAATTGATACTCAGGAACTGGTAAGTAGTGTTCTCTCTTTAGATTTAGCAAGATGATTTAAGTATTGTCTGTGTATGCGTGCATGCTAAGTCGCTTCAGTTGTGTCCGACTCTTTGCAACCTGTGGTTTGTAGCCTTCTAGGCTGCTCTGTCCATGGTATTCTCCAGGCAAGAATACTGGAGTGGGTTGCCATGCCCTCCTCCAGGGAATCTTCCTGATCCAGGGATCAAACCTGTGGCTTCTGTATTGCAGGCTGATTCTTTTAACACTGAGCCACTGGGGGAGCCCAAGTATTGTCTTTAAGATTCCCTAAAGCTATACTCATTCTTTTCATTGGTGGAGCAGCGGAAATGATGGGAATTGGGAGGGAAGTGATGAGAGAATGTTGGGTTCAGGGGGAATCCAAGATTTGGCTCAGTGATGTTTAATTGCTTTTCACAGTTGGAAACCTGAAGAAGAGTTAGTCAGGCACAGTCAAGGTAGTTGTGGGTTTTTTTTGTTAGTCTCTATCGCAGTCATTCATATCTGCACCCCTAGACATGCTTGTAGTGTAGCATATTTGTCCATCTCACAATCCATAAGCTCTGTCACTTAAACACTGAACAAGTATTAGCCATCCAGTGACATTTATTGAACACTGCCATAAGCAAGCATATGAAGGTAATATAAGTAAACCCTAAAAGATCCCTGTCCGAAAGTAGTTAATTCAGAGGGACTCATTGTGTGTTCATTGTATTCCCAGTGTTTACTGTGGTGTTTTGTACTAAGTAATTGTTTCCGAAATGAATGATCAATATAGTGTAGGAGAAAAGAGGTATAACATTTTATTGTGTGATAAATGTAATGCTGTGATAGAATTAAAAAGCAAAACAAGAAGCCTTAGGAGCCCTAGAGGGAAATAAGGATTATTTCAGAATGGAAAAGGAGGTTAAATATTTGATTGTATCACTGCATTGCTGGTGGGGTAGTAGGACTAATTGGAGAAATGAAGACAACATTCCTAGCTTAAGAAATGGCTTGAGCAAAGGTTTGAAAGCATAAAAATGCATGGCATAATTGAAGTTGCCTGGTATGGTTTGATGGAGGGAGATAAAACTAGAATGATAGATTGGCTCCAGATTTTTAAGAACTAATGATATAAACAATTTGGATTTTTCTGTTTTCAGTCAGGAGCAGTCAAAAGAAGGGGTCGGATATGTGATCAAATCTGAATTTTAGAGATTAGCTATGAGGCCTTGATAATGACTAGAGAGAGTCTAGAAAGGGAGACTTACGTTGTAGCAAAGTTGAAAGAGAATAAAATACAAGAGAGTGACATGAGAGATGGCAAAGAAAGAACAGATTCCGGATATGTTTTGGAACTAAAATCTTATTAAAATTCCAAGGGAGAATGAGAAAAGGAGTCAGTGATTGGGGGGGCGGGTACATTTCCATCTTGGATAAGTGGTTATTAACCACTGATAAGGAAGCTGTGAGGAAGAATATGCTTGTGTGAAGATGGGCTCTGCTTTGGATATATGGAGTCAATTTTGAGATGGGCTTGGGGTATGTGTAGCAGATCCCACCTATGTATTCTCATAACAACGTATGCATACCTCTTACTACACCAAGCACTATATTGTAACTGTTTACTTGTCCATATTCTCTACTATAAGCCTGTCAAGGTTAAAGAGTACCTTTCCTCACCATGACACTCTACCTAGTGCCTGGCACATAACAGATACTCAATACTGAATAGGAAAGAAAACAAAGAACAAAACACAAATGCCCACATGAAATTAGGGAGAAAAACAGGGCTACAGTGTCATCAGCATACAAAAAAAGTTACATGAGGTACTGAGATAGCTAGGGGCAAGTATGAAAGGAGGAGGAGAGGATGAATTTTAAGAGTGAACAGGGATTTTCCTGGTGGTCCAGTGGTGAAGACTCCACACCCCCAATCAGTGCAGGGGTACTGGGTTTGGTTCCTCGTCAGGGAACTATATGTGTACAGCCAAATTTTTATTTAAAAAAATAAAGAATGGGCAGAGAAAAAGGAACTTGAAAGACAAATGATAAAAGGTACTAGAGGTGAAAATGAAGCAAAAAGAGTTTCACAATAAGGCAATGATAAGCGTTTTCATTTATTTCAGCCAGTGGAAATAAGATGAGAACCGAAAAGAATTGTTCGGGTTTTTAAATTTTGTATTGTTGATTTTTATTTATTTATAAATATGTATGTGTGTTTGTACACACATACATATACAGACACACATATGTGTATTTTTTTCCTTTCTGAATGAATGCTCAGAGTGTTAAAATACCCAACGTCACATGGACAAGGTTTGAATTCAGTTTTTAAAAGATGAGGTTTAGTAAGGGTTGGTGAGAGTTACAGTAGCCAGATTTTGAGAGGCACTGCTTGGTGAGAGTGGGGAGTCCTACTGAAGTGGAGGAGGAGTTAATACTCCTTCAGGAAGAATGTTAGGAAAATCAAGAAAATAAAGATGAACTGGTGTGCTTGGACTAGTGGCCAGAAACAAGTATTCTGATTGTCCCAAGCATGTCAAGTTCAATTACAAGTATCAGTCACATCTCTTTTATCAGGTCTGGTAGGTCACTTGTTGGGAGGTGATTTTTGCTCTACTAATTGCACATTAGCAAATTCATACCACTGCAAGTTCACTGTTTATGTTACTGCTCTGAATAATGTTAGAAAAATACAAATATCTGATGATATTCTGTCCAAAAGTTCAAGTTTTTAAAAAGTAAGCACTGGTTATCTAAGAGCAGACCACTTTTGAAGAACTATCAAAAGAGCTCTTATCGTGGCGAGTTCTTTGCCTTTTCACTCTTCTTCAGCATTTTTACAGTTTTAAGAGGAGATTGAGAACGAAAATGAATCTTTGTTCATTCAACAAGATTGAGGTACATTTTATACCACAGTCTTTGCAAAGATGCGTGGTTGAGCATAAAGTTGACACTGAGGGAACTATAACATAACTGAATCTTTGGTTTTGATGCATGAGGTTGCATAATTAAGTAAAATTACTTCTCATTTTAAGTTACTTGACTTATTAAAGGAGATAGAATGAAACATCCCTGCACTAGTACTCACCAACCTGGCCCTGTTGGTAACTGGACGTGTCGTAAGGGTCTAGGCTCATCACTTATATAAAGGGAGACAAACTGAGTGCCTCCCAGATACAGAGTTGTTAGAATGATAAAATGAGATGAAGGTGTACATTTTAGTAACCTGTAAAGTGTTACACAGAGATACAAAGTATTCTTTTATGTTTACTTAAGTATAAAAAAATTAGATCCTGACCTGGTAGCTCAGACAGTAAAGAATATGCCTGCAGTGCAGGAGAGCTGGTTCGATTTCTGGGTTGGGAAGATCCCTTGGAGAAGGGAATGGCAACCCACTCCAGTATTCTTGCCTGGTGGGCTACAGTCTGTGGAGCTGCAAAGAGTCGGACACGACTGAGCGTCTAACACTTTCACTTTCAAATTAGACTGGAACTAGAAGTGTTACGTATATTTTGTGCTAATATTGTTTTCTGAATTCCCAAAATCGGTTGATATTTGTTAGTTCTTTTAAAATTTGGAGTTGGTTTCACTCTCCAGTTAAGGAAAGAGTGAAATGGAAAATAACTGGCCATGATCAAGGCTCTTGACCATCCTTCAATAGCAGTTGGCTCTTAGATATGCTTATATCCCTTATGTCTGTTCCTTAGTGTTTTTAATTGGAGGATAATTGCTTTACAGTGTTGTCTGGGTTTCTCCTGTGCAACATGAATCAGCCAGAAGTGTGCATGTATCCCCTCCCTCTTCAGCCTCTTTCCCATGCCCCATCCCTGCC